TAAAAGAATGAAGTGAAACCCCTACATCACACCATATACAAAAACAAACACAAAATGGGTTAGAGATGAGCTAAACCTAAAAACTGTTAGAATAAAATACACATATAAATCTTCATGGTCATAAAATAGCACAAAGCTGTAAAGAAAAAAAAAATGATACCTGGAATTCATCAGAACTACAAGCATTTGTGCACCAAAGGACAGTATCAAGAGAGTGAAAAGACATCCCACAGAATAGGAGAAAATACTTGCAGATCATATATCTGTAAGGGATTTGAATACAGATTATGCCTCCTTCTAGTTGTGTGATCTTAGGCAGCTTGTTTTCCCTTACTGAATCTCAGCTTCCTCTTCTGTGAGCTGAAAGAGTTGGAATAACTGATAGAAGAAAATAGCACTTAAATACTTTATGGTTTATAAAATGTGTTCTTATTCATTTATTATCTTATTTAATCCTCATTACAGCTCTGTTGTGAAAGCACTACTATTATTCCCACTTAACAAATAAGGAATTTTCTATTATAACATTTCCTTTATGTAGTGGAGTTCTACAACTGCTTTGTTTCCTCTCCCCAGGGCCTTGACATTCCATGATATGATTCCATGGTAGATGTAGGTTGAGCACCAGGCCATCTCCACATTGTCATGCACTACACCTTACCTTTCTTGTTTTCTTCTGAAGATTTCCCAAGCTATCTGTTGTGTCCTCCACCCTGTCTGCTGACCCAGAACACACACAGGACTTTGCAACCCTTCCTTTAAGAACAGTTGTCAGTTATTGAACTAGGCCAAGAGTCTGAGTAACCAAAAGAAGCAAGATTCTATTCAACTTCACTCTTGTCTCTTGTAATTTCAGGATACTTTATGATAACTCACTTTGGAGGATAAATGCAAATAGTCCTTGATCACTCCTCTTGCCTCTGCTACCACTGTGCTCTTCACTCTATAAAGGAAGAAGAACAAAGACAAAAAGGGGGAGGAGAAGAAAGAGGAAGAGGAATTACATTTTATTTCCAGTAATTTCCTGAAAGCAGAAATTCAAACCTCAAGGGACATTTGTATTTCTGAGGTGATGTGTAACATTGGAGTGACCTCTCAGCTTTGACTCAGGCTCACAAAGGCCCTGCCTCTGGCCCTCAGTGGAAGTGCCCCCACATAATCCAATGGAGAAAGAAAACATATAAAGTTCTGCAGATGGTGACCCAAAAGCCCAGAGATATGAAATGATCCACTCCAGGCCACACAACTAAAATGTGGGGGAGCTAGATGAAAACATTAGGATTAGGCCTGTCTACTCCTGACTTAATTTTCCTTCTATCACCTTATGACCTACAACCATTCCTCTCTTAAGACCTTCAATACAAGTATGGAGAGTGCTGTGTTCCAAAGATACTTTGTTCCAATCCTCCTTTGTTTCAGAAAATGTTTTTCTCCTACAGACAAAGCTGCAGGGATGAACTCTGTAGGACTGAGTTGTGTAACAGTGGCTCTGGTGCACTGCCTATAAAGCTCAGCATACTTGGAGAGAACTAACGGGTATTAAAGACAACAGAGGTAATCTGCCACATCCCATCCAGAGATATTCAGGGATGTTAGGTGGAAGGACTGCATTCCCCTTTCTTTGTGTCAGCCTCAGAGGACAGACTCACACAAGCGTTACAGAGCTTTCTCCAGGAATAGGGTCAAGTCAGTTTGGGCTATATCTTGGAATAATAAATTCTGCAAGTAAGACAACACAGTAAAAGATAATATTCCCTAATATTAACTATCAGTTTTCTATTGCTTTTAGAGTGGTTCTTTGTGGAAGTGTTCTTAGACTCTGTGATCACTAAGACTGGGACTTTCTTAAATATTTTAGCTACCTTAATCATATCCCCTCAGATTTGGGTCCCTCCCTGTAAGAATTTTCCTGTCTTGGGGTACATGAGTGTCTCAGTCAGTTAAGTATCCAACTCTTTATCTTAGCTCAGGTCTTGGTCTCAGAGTCATGGGTTCAAGCCCCTCATCCGGCTCCACACTGGGCATGAAGTTTATTTAAAAAAAAATCTTTCTGTCTTTCTCCACACCGCTCTTCCTGCCACACATTCATCAGAGTCCCCTCTGCACTTTCTCTGACTCCACAGTCACTGCCTTAATTTGTGGTGCTCTGGCTTCCACCCAGGTTTTGTATTTTGGAAACAAATGTCTTTTGGTTTGTTTCCAACAGTCCCTCTTAGAGTGCCTATTGTTTCACTGGCCTGTTGAACACAATGTCTCACTAGTCCCACTGTCTTTTCTGCTGCACCATAATTGATAATTCAGAGCCCATCATCTTATAAACATGTTTATGGTCTCTTCAACTCCTCTCTTTCCAAATGAGAAAATGCACATCATCTTTTCCACAGGGGAGGTCATCTGACATTGTATGCTATTTAAAAAATATATATCGTGGCTCATTTTGCTGGATTGATATTGTCATTTTTAGAAGAACTTAGTATCACTTATGAATGTGGAAAATTTATAATACATTCTTTTCTTCATATCATATATAGAGCCATGAATAAAGACCAATCCCATTTTCTATTTTTATAGGATTCTCCTTTTTTTACTCTTCCAAACATAGACTATGTTTATGATCTATTTGTGATCTAAAATAAAAAATGCTCCCTGACTCACTTTGTAGTATGTGTTGTTGACTTTTCTATAATAAAATAATTACAATAAATTATATCCATTGTTTTTCCCTTAAATATATGTTTTATATTGCTTAAACAATGCTAACCGACAAGTCAAGGATGAGTTCCTCTTTATTATTTTATTTTTTTAATGTTTATTTATTTTTGAGAAATAGAGAGAGAGAGAGAGAATGTGAGCAGAGGAGGGGAAGAGAGAGACACACACACACAGGATACGAAGCAGGCTCCAGGCTCTGAGCTATCAGCACAGAGCCTGACATGGGGCTTGAACTCACAAACTGTGAGATCATGACCTGAGCCAAAGTTGGACGCTCAGCTGACTAAGCCACCCAGGCATCCCTGAGATGAGTTCTTTAAAAAATTCTTCCTATTTTTGAGAAGAGAGGGAAACAAACCACAAGACACTCTTTTATTATTAATTTATTTATTATTGTTTAAATTTAAGTGAGACTCTTTATGATAGAGAACAAACTGAAAGTTGACAGAGGGAGGTAGGTGGAAGATGGCTAGATGGGTGATGGGTATTAAGGAGGGCATTTGTGATGAACACTGGGTGTGGTATGTAAGGATGAATCACTGAATTCTACTCCTGAAACCAATATTGCACTGTATGTTAACTAAAATTTAAATTTAAAAATTCTTCCTACTTTATAAATGTGGTAATTTTGTAATAAGCCCAGTCTTTATTATAAATTCTCCTCCACATGTAAGAGTGTATCATTATCAGTACCCCTGACTCTTCTGCACCCTACCTTACCTCACTCCCACTTTTGTACAGGGATCCAGTGGCCATTCACTCAGTGTACATTTTTAGTTACAGCTTACATATTCTGACAAAGGATTTTCTAATTTTACCTTTGGGCTCTTCAAATTCTGAGACAATATCATCTTGACTAAAGGACAATGTAAGCACATCTGGTTTTAAAAATCAGGTAAGTCTAGTTAATACTAACCCTCTAAAAACATATCCATAAATCAGCTATCCATTGTCCAAGTAATAAGGATTCACAGAGGTTCAGCTTGAACTTGTTCCAGTAATTTGGAGTTTGTACTGAGCCCAACAAACTCCTGCAAAGAAATGTAATAATCAAAGCCAGACACCATTAACATTTCAATATGATATCCAAGTACCTCACAGCCTGCACCTGTGGGTCTTTCCTTTTCTACCTCTGCCTCTATCTCTACCATTATTCCCACCCAGACTATGAGCATTTCTGCCTCTTTGTACTTTAACACATTTAACACAGAATGTATACTAACTTGCATTAATGATCATTTTCATACTGTGTATGTCCTATTTGCTAAAATACATGGGAAGCTACTTACAAGTGGGTGCCATGACTCTCATCTCTTTAAAACCCCACATTTAATAAATGTTTGAAAAAGGTAGCAAAATGTCAAAATATTTATAGGACCTATGTATTTGCCCACACATTCTCTTTTGCTATAAAAGAGCATCTAGTTTACTATGTCTGAATTAGCTAATAACTTATTCATTAACAAGTGAGAACAATTCCTCATTATAATATTTGTATTAGGAAATCCGCTGTTTGAAGGGATTTCAGGGGAGTTTCTTTTCACTTCCTCTGATAAAATCTTGGATAAAAAAATGTTTTCTTTTTTCTGCCCTCCTGCTTTTATTTCTAAAAGTGAAAGAAGTTTAGGAAAGGTAGAAACCCAGCCATCCATTCACCGAGGACAAAGTCACTTTAGCAGCTCTAGGTTTAGCCACAGAAAAACTACTCAGCTTCTAAGAACCAGGCAAACAATTTCCCACATTGGCAATTTGGCAGCAGTACAATGTTGAGGAAACTTTCTCAACTCAGCTGAGAAAACTCAGGAAAGACCAAATGGAGGAACAGAGGACAAAGTTTTATGGTCTGTTGGGGATGTGCCAAAGAATATCAGATAATAGATGAAATGCAGTTTGTCATTTACCCCATTGGTTTCAGGGGCACACTGTGCTCAAAGCTGTTTCAATGGAATGAGTCACTCCTTGCAGAATCCACCACAGCTCAAGTTTAATCAGGCTTACAACAGCTTAGGAGAAAGCATAGCTATGTCCTCCCGTAAAAGATGGGCCAGCTGAGGTAGCAAAGCATTAGAGGAAGAGCTATGGGTTACGTTGATAAGGAGAGAACCGGGGAATGGCACTCATGGAAGTCGGGGGTAGGGGGAGGTATACTCAGGGGAGAGGGAAGTAAAGCCTGTTGAGCAGCCCATAGAGATCTCATGATTAGGGAAAGAGGTGGTCACTCTTTGGTCACTGAAGTCCAAGGCTCATGGATCGAACATGTGACAAGGCTCAGAGACCACTTTCTGCTGCTACTGCTTACTGCCAGGCTCCTCGTCACTGTCTTCCCCCAGAGGAAATTCCCTTGTGGGCTTCTGAGTTGCACATATCCGGGTCTCCATGGGGCAGTCCTGGCTCAGAATTGCCTGAAGCAAGAGTCAGGAAGAGAAATTACTGCATATATTTTACCAGTCTCCCAGTTCCCTTCCCTCACTAGCTTACTCAAGTCTAGTATTGTTCAGGAAAGACTCAAGAAATGGGGTAGGATTCTTTTTCTGCTTCGTTTACAGGCACAGGCCTCCCAAGGCACCTAGGTGTAGCAACTCTAGTCAAGAGAAATATCTGGAATGCTTTTAATTGAATCTTAACAGTGGTAATACAAGCTATAGCAGGGAGTCAGCTGAAACTGGAACAATCCCCTATCAGACCCCTCTGTCTTCTTCCATCCCTTTGAGCAGCCCCCATATCCATCACTAAGCACCCTTAGGGTGCTCACGCTGCAATAAAAGGAAAGTATCTTATTAACTAAAATCATATGTTGTGGTTCTCTTCCCTGGGTTTTGTACTTTAAATGATGACCTGGTAAAGATAATGGCAGACAAAAAAAAAATATATATATATATATCTATATATCTATATATCTATCTATATATATATATAGATATATATATATATATAATGGCAGACATGAATGAATGAATTAATGAATGAATTAGCCTGGTGGAATTTTGCCTTCTTTGCGGAAATAATTTGGTAACTCATATTTTGCTAGTAACTAAAGTACAGGATGCTTTTGATGGCCCCCGCACCTAAGCTTCTCATTGTTCTTCTTTACTTAGGACGCTTTTTAACCACCTGATGTAAGAAGCAAAGTGGTTATATAGAAAAGGGAAAATAAGGAAGAAAACAAAGGAAAGATAAAGGTGAAAATTAGATCAGAAAACATGGCAAAGCAGAAAAACATTCAAAGAGGGAGGAAATGGCATAGGATAAAAACAATGTGAGAGAGATATGGAAAAAAAACAACCCAGATTATTATTTTTTTAGCAGCAGTCAGAGCCCCTTACCAGCTTTTCCTCCTTGGCTGGGGGGCTTCTCAGGTAGTAACAGAGAGGAGCATACATGATGTTGATGACCCCAATGATGACCATAAGCCAGGGGAAGCCAATGGCATGCACAATGGCTCCCCCGGTGGATGGGCCTGTGAGGAATAAACCAAATTTACCAGTATTTATTGAGCCTTGATCACATAGAAGACACCATGCAAGGGGCAATAGGTGACCCAGAGGATGTCCTGAAGTCAAATATCTCCAGAACCTTAGGAGAATCAGCCTTCTGACTCTATTTCCAGTTGGTAAACAGTAAACAAGAGAAAATGGGAACCAGGTCCTGGGTGCTCCCTTCTCCCCTGCCAACATACCTATAGCAAAACCCATGCAAAAAGCTACATCAGCTATGGCATAGACACTCCCATACACTGAGGTATGACGCAGGTCCACCAGGTGTCCCATGATGGGCATCACAGAGGAATCCACCATACCTGTAGCCAGAGGAAACAGGACACTGTCAGCTCTACTCACAGTCCCTTCCCTTTTTGTAGCATCTTTCCTTCTTATTCTCCTTTAGTCTTTTTGCCTGCTATCCTCCCACTCAGCACTGACACCTATTTCTGATAGGAGTTAGAAGTCCACATCTTTGCCAGCTGCCCTCCTGATCCTTCTGCCTTTTCATATACCTCCTCTTATCTGACCCAAAGCCAAAATTCAGGAGGTTCTTATCTCCTTTAAAAGTACTCTTACCTATGGAAAAGCCAAGTCCTGCATTGGGGCCAATGAGACCAAAAATATTATAAGCCAGAGGAACCTGCAACAGGGAAGGGAGAAGAGTTCATCAGGAGTCCAGCTGAATCACCACAGAAACAAGGGGTTTTCATATGAAATGCATTTATTAGCCATGTGCTGTGTACCACATGTATTATCTATCTGGATTCTCACATCTCCTTATGAAGAAGAATCTTTACCTCCAATTTAAAGATATGAAAGCTAGATTGGTGCCATTTGGATTAAACATCCTATCCAAAGTTAAGATCTAATAAGAGGCAAGATTAAGTCTAAACCTCAAATTTGACTCCATTATACTATAACAGTGCTTGAGCTTCTGTTGAATGAGCCCTCCCCTACTTTAACCACCGCCCACCCCCCTGCCCCAGACATACATTTCTGTCCTCACTATTCATTGAATAGTGTTTCCTCCCTTTTCTATTAGGAACATTCAAAGGTTTTAGTTAAATTCTAACTTGGTAGCCACTGGAGCAAGACAAAATACACCAACAACGAATTACCCATAATCTAGAGGGGCAGGTGGCATGTTTGGGGTGCTATATCAGCAAGCTTGTGAAACTCATTATTTTGCCTTACCAGTGCTCCACTGAGAGCCTTCCTTTCCTCTTTTGCTGATTCCTTACCTCCCTCTCTCCTTGAGCATCTGTTACCTACACCTGCCCCAAAACATTAACCCCTCAGAGGTTTAAAATACCACTTAGATGTTAGTGGCTAAACACAATTTTAAGGATTATTCCCAAGGGGTATTTATATTTTACCAGCAGTTGTCTTAAGATTTACTGTGGGCTCACTATGTGTCAGACACTGTTGCTATTTATATGGACAGCCCTATGAAATGCTAACAGAATCCTCTCTACACAGATGGGGATACGAGCAAAAAGAGGTGACATAAAAGTCACAAAGAGCAGCAAGTGGAAAATCTGAGAATGAATGTGGAGCTCATGTTCCTGATCAGGACCTCCAGCCTTTCTTGAACACTGTATTCAGTGCTTTACAGCTCTAGTCTCATCTCCCTCAAGCCTAGGAGACAATTGTGCTGATGATTCCCATTATGGAGAGGAGAAAATGAAGGTTTAGAGAGCTTGAAGGGGGCTCTTGAAAATAGGAAAGCTCTTCTTTCTTTCTTTTTATACCAAATATTCTGGCACCAGAGCCTGCAACTCAGATGATGGTTCCCCTAGGGTCCTGTCATGGTGGGATGAATAAATTAAGTCATAAAATTAATCTCTCTGTTGGCCCCAGAAATAGATACCAACTTGGATAGTTTCATGTGCCCATACATAGGACCTCAGACCTCTGGCTACAGCTGCCCCAATTACACTTCCTCCCTCCTTCCCTCCTCCTTTAATGGGATGCCTGATGGCATCTCTCCCAGTTCTCAATTCCTACCTATGCAGAAACAGTCCTGCCAACAGTCATTGCCAAGTTAACCTTCCGTTCATTTTAAAGAAAATGGTCTTTAAATGTCTCTTTCTCTCTCTCTCCTAGGCTTATACTTACACAAAGCAAGCTGGTACCTATAACCATCATCCCAATCATGGAGCAGAGCCACCTGGAAGAAAAAAAGCCATCAGCAAATAGTGCTAAAGGGAAATATTCCTACCACCCCTAATTCCAGGAATCCCTTAGGATGTGAGAAGATGAAGACATCTCTATATGACTTGTTTATAACCAGGTGAGAGATCTTTCCCTGTTTTTTCATTGCCTTCATCTATTCCAGGCTCCATATCTCTTTCCATAGTAGAAGCAGAGGAGGTGCAATGGAACATATTATTTCTTCCTCTAGAAGAGGAATCAACTTACTCAGAATGTACTTGCCCCTTGGTAGTAACCCTCAAACTTAATTCATGCTACTCCCAGTTCACACTATATCTCCCCTATTCATATTTTTTTCTGGTCTTCAAGGTTCATCTCAAAAGCCACAGAAAATACCATACTTCTTTCCTTTTCTGACTTCCTATAGCAGGGGTTTTAAGAACTTATTTTTTAAATCTTTATGCTGAGCTCCAAAGATAAAATTAAAGCTGTTCTCACTGTAGTTGAACAGAATCCATACTCATATTTTTAGCCCTCAACCTTTTCCACTTGATGGCCTCTGAGGTCCCTCTAGAACTCTCTAGGGATCTATGGAACACAATCTGATAACCACTGCCCCCAAAGTACTGAGCTTTCTCATGACTGTTCTCTGTGGGGTTATTTTAGCACTTCAACTAGACAACAAACAACTGGAAATAAAGGTTATCCCTCACAACCAGCTCAGGGCCATCCTTTCTCTATATTGTCCTCACCAACTACCCACCCTCATCCTCCCTGTGGGCAGCTTTTATCTATGTGTACTTGTTCTAAACTTTAAATATCAGAGAAGCTGTTCATTATCCTAAGCTCAGGGACAACCTCAAAAGGCTCTCTCATCCTACATTCTTTTTATTCTCCACAGATTCCCAGGTTACATACCGACCCATCTTGTTTGCCAACACACCAAAGAGGTTGGTGCCAATGAGGTAGGACACACTGGCAGGCAAAAAAGCTAGACCTGTGGAAAGACAAAGGTCCTCATCTTAGGACATTCCCAGTTAACTATTATATAATTTATTTCTTACAAGACAGTTAAGTCCCCCTATTACCTTCAAGGACCCCAAGCCACTTTGTTTTGTGGTTTGGAGATCCTTGTGCAAACCCAGAGAAATTGACATAAGGCTCTCACCTCCATTTTCCTCAGGAGTAGGGCTTTGTTTAGCTTTAATACAATGTGTTCCAAGCTCCCCACTTAAACTTCTTGAAGAATGGCTGTAATGAGCCATTCTCATGTATAAAATCCTTTTGATTATCATCATAAGATCATCAGCATTAGAGAGAGAAATAAATATATCTTGGGACGTGAAATTCCTGCCTTGCTATTCACCTTTCTTTCTATTGCTCTGGTAATGATCTTGGGTATGTTACTAAATCTTTCTGAGCTTTGGTATATACATCTGGCAAAAACAAAGCTATGACTCTATCATACCAATTTACACTGAGAAGTAAATTGTATAATGTATGTAAAAGTATTTTGTAAACTGAAGCACCAGCTACATTGCTTTCTCTCACTGTAGAGCCAGGTGGTTTAGATCATGGGCTTTGGAGCCACACAGTTTGGGGTTCAAACTAGTTTCGCTACTTTTTAGCTCTGTGACTTTGGGCAACTTACCCTCTCTGAGTCTCATTCATTCATTCAGTTTACTTTTAATGAGCTTTTACTATGTCTCGAGTGTTCTAGGATTAGAGGGGGTAAATAAGATAGACAAAATCTTAGCTTTTGGAGAGTTTACATTCCAAGAGAGGGGAGCCAGAAAATAATAAACACACAAACAAATGAATGAAAAAAGATAATTTTGTAAAATGATAAGTTCTGTGAAGAAAATTTAATGTGGTGACATGGAAGTGACCAGGAACAAGGCTAACTTCAGTTTGGGAGTTGAATGCTTTTTTGAGGAGATGACATTTAAACTGAGATTTGCGAATCAAAGCAGAGCATTCAAAGCAGGGGGAAAAAACACATCTAATGCAAATACCTTAAAGAAGAAACTATTCATCTGTTATAGGAAAAAAAAAAAGGAAGTCTGTGTGGCTGAAACACAATGAGCAAAGTGAAGAGTGATAAAAAAAATGTAGGTCTATGGGGGAATGGGTTAAATGGGTAATGGGCATTAAGGAGGGCACTTTTCAGGATGAGCACTGGGTGTCATATGTAAGAGATGAATTACTGGGTTCTACTCCTGAAGCTAAGGCTACACTGTATGTTAACTAACTTGAATTTAAGTAAAAAAAAAGAAAGAAAGAAAGAAAATAGAGGCCTAGAATTTGGGATTTATTCCAAGTGCAATGGGAAACTTTGGAGGGAAACGACATATTTTAATTTACATTTTTAAAAGTCCTCTGGGGGGCGCCTGGGTGGCTCAGTCGGTTGAGCGTCCGACTTCAGCTCAGGTCACGATCTCTCAGTCGGCGTGTTCGAGCCCCGCTTCGGGCTCTGGGCTGATGGCTCGGAGCCTGGAGCCTGCATCCAATTCTGTGTCTCCCTCTCTCTCTGCCCCTCCCCCGTTCATACTGTGTCTCTCTCTGTCTCAAAAATAAATAAACATTAAAAAAAAAAGTCCTCTGGTTGTGGTTAGAAGAATGGGATCACAGGACAAGCATGGAAGTCAGAAGATTATTTGTAGAACCCAAGAGGAAAGTGACAATGCTTCAGCTTAGAGGTCACAATAGAAAGAAGTGAATAAAATCAGAGGTGTTATGGTGGTAGAGTCAGTGGAATTTTCTGTCGGATTAGGCGTGGGCATAGTGGGAGTGAGGGAAAGAAAGAAATCAAGGATCACTCTTTTTTGTCTTAATTTGGTGTACTACTTAATTTTGTCTTACTTAATTTGGTAGAGGAAGAGCTTGGGGGAAAAAACATGAAAGGTTTGAAATGTGTATTAAATATCCAACTGGAGATGTCAGGCTGTGAACATACAAGTTTAGACTTCCAAGGACAGATCCTAAGCACAGATATAAATGTTTGACTCATTGGTTTATACATGGTTCTTAAAGCCATAGGGAGGGCTGGGATCACCTCTGAAATATCAGATAGAGAAGAATAGAAATCCAAGGTCTGAACCTTCAGGGACTCTTAACTTTAAAAGTTAGCAAAAGAAGAGGAGCTAACAAAGGTAATAAAAAGTAGCGAAAGAAGTGGTTGAGAAGGGATGGAATGCAGAAAAAGAAGAAGTAGAAGAAGAAAGAAGAGGAAGAGAAGGAGAAGAAAGAGGAGGAGGAGAAGGAAGAAGATAAAAGAAAAAAAGGAGGTGGAAGAGGGAGTTGAGTGAGGGAGGAGGAGAAGAAAGAGATGGAGATGGGGGGAGGAGGAAGAAGAAGAAAAAGTAGTAATAGTGGTGCTGGGGGCAGGTGGGGGTGAGGGTGGTGATGGTGGTGATAGTGGTGGTGGTAGTAGTAGTAGTATTAGTTGTTGTGGTTGTAGAAATAGCAGCAGTAGAAGTAGCTTGGCCTCTGAAGGAGTTGGGATGCTTCAACCATAAACAGAAGGCAACGAATGTGGGTACAAGTGCAGGGAATAAGTGAGTTCCTATCTCATTGCTTCTATTTTCTCAATGAATAGGAGATGAGAAGGATGAAGGTAAAGGAATCAGGGTACAGAGGAAGTTTGAGTGGATAAGGGTAAAATTATCATTTCAGAAAGTTGGAAGGAGAACAAAACTGGGGACTTAGAAAAATGTTGTTGGGTAATATGAAAACCTACTTCAATTTTTGTAAAGTAGACTCCACAACCAGCAGTGAGCCCAATGCGGGGCTTGAACTCATGACCCTGAGCTGAGATCAAGAGTCAGACACTTAACCAACTGAACAACCCAGGTGCTCCTATGAAAACCTACTTTAGATTTGTAGCCATAAATATAAGGTTAAACTGAGAGCCTAGTTGTGTGTTTTCCTACAGCCCCAATCCACTACTCATGTGCAGACAAGGAGTGGGAAAACAGATTGGCTTAACCAGAATTAATGCTGTGCCAGCTGACAACCCTAGAGGGAGAGAAAGGCAAAGGAATTAGCAATGCTTTCAAAGGTCTAACATCATGATGGAATCCAAGCTGAGTAAATGAATAAGTGAGGATATGAGAAATGATGGAAATAGGAAAAGAATTGAGGCCAATGGATTGGTGAGCTTAGAGTAGCCAAAATTTGTTGATATGGAGATATTAGAATACCTGAGCAGGGAATATGTAAATTGATAACCTGAAAGCTTGGAATTGAAATTTCAAAGGTGATACAATTAAAGGTTTGATTGGTTGAGGTGGAGAGGAGAAAAAAATTGCAAAAGATTATTGTAAGAAAGTAGATTAAGGAATAGGCCAAGATGTTGGTAAAGTTCTCCACCTGGATATTGAAGCCACCAAAAGTGGCTATAGGTGTAAAGGATAAAAGAATATTAACCAGGTATTGACAACTTTAATGAATGAGAATGGGTAAGTAAGGGGTCAATAGGTGATTGCAATGAAGAGAGGTAGAGGAGGGTATAATATGATGACATGATCTTCAAGGGAGTTTGGGTCTTTGAAGGAGAATTAAGAAGAAATGATCCAGCAGCAGCAAAAGTAAGCAAAGTCTAGAGGAATGTGGACTTCCATCAAGAGGGCTGGGAAAGGGTGTTCTCAGGAAACATTAGGGTTTCAGGGCAAGAGAAGATGAAGGAAGTGTTTGGAGAAGAAGATGAAGGCACTGGGACACATGTCAATGACAGGAGGTTCTACAAAGCCAGGGAATTTTTGGAGGGGAAAATAGGAAATTGGGTAAGATTAAGAAATTTCTTTTTTTTTAAATTCAAGTTAGTTAACATACAATGTAGTCTTGGCTTCAGGAGTAGAACCCAGTGATTCATCTCTTATATATGACATCCAGTGCTCATCCCAAAAACTGCCCTCCATACTGCACATATGAAATATGGTGTTAATAATAATTCCTACCAGATGGGCTGGTTGTGAGCTTTGAGATAATGTATGCCAACCATTTTTCACAGTGTCTGGGACACAATAAGTGCCCTCAGAGCACCAGCCTTAACTGTTAACATCATAACCAGTGAGTAGCAGGATCAGGACTTGAACCCAGGCCTTCTCCTTCCGACTTCCTGTGTCTCCACTACCCATACCAGTGGTGTGAGAGCACAGATGGCTCTGGCATAAGGGACTGTAGAGAATGCAGTGTGAGTTTCTTCAAGTCTCACTAGGCTCTCTATGCCTTTCTGTAGCTATATGAAGCAGTGTTGCCTGATGGAAACTGTCATGATGATTACAATGAAACCCAAAGTACTGGTCAATGGCTTGTTTGACTTTAATATTCTCTTCAATGGGGTGAAAGTGAAGCATATCTTAGTGTATTTGTCTATTTGTACAGGGCAGCAAAACTTTACCCAGTTGTTTATTTTTAATTGCTTTTAAAAATTTAAAAGTATACCTACTCCATTTTTTACCTGAGATCTGGAAATGAGCATCTCTAAGAATCCCACTAACCACTTAAATACATCTCCTTAATATTGCTTTGAATGACATGGAATTTTCTAAATGAGATTTTCCTCAACTAACGTGGCTTGTTCTTTAGGATCTGGGTATAGGTTGCATTTCAATAGTATTTTGTGCAAAATAGGTGTTACAAACTATATGTCTACAGACAAACATATATTTTTCACAGCATATCTTCAAAGGAGCAGGAAATTACACATATCTGTGACTGTCTAAATAATTTCTAGAAAAATAATGATGAAAATAATAATTTTTATTTGCTGAGTATAACTATCCTGTATTCTATGTACTATGCTAATCCCTTTAGAATACATAGATCTATTTAATCCTGAAAACAACCCTGAAAACATCTCCCTTTTTACAAATGGAAAAAAAAAAGTGGTGTGAAGTGGTATGAAGAGGTTAAATAACTTATCCAAGGTCACAACCAGTAAGTAATCAGGATTCAAACCCAAGTGGGCCTATCTCCAAAGCCTGCGCTGTTTCCTCCACTTAGAGTGCTGGGTCACTTAAAAAGTGTCCGGTCACAGACTACAAAGCACCCTCAAAACTGCTGTCTCCAACTCCTAACAACCATGAGAGGTTGTCTCCATTTAGTGCAATATTTTTCAGTGTGGTCACTGATACCACATCAACATCACCAGGAAACTTATGAAAATGCAAACTTGATTCTGTCGAATTTCTGGGTGGGGCCCAACACTCAGAATTTTAACAAGCTTTCCAGATGATGTGAGACTTTTTGAAGCTAGACTTACAGACGCAGATAGCATTGAGGAAAGTTGTAAAGGATGGTGGGAGACAAAGCCTTATTGGTGTTTTGACTTACTCTCCAGAGGGCTTTCTGCTGCAGCCTCACCTCCATAAGGGACTATGTGGAATCAGCCCAGTGAATTTCTTTTGGTGTCACTAGCCTCTCTATGCTTTTCTGTACCTAGAGGAAATAGTGGTCCCTAAAAGAAACTGTCATGACAATTACAGTTAAACCCAAAGTCAACAATTCAGCAGTTATTGAAGGCTGGTTCGCTTTTCTCTCCTATAGGGTGAAGAAAGGCTGAAGAGGAGTTGTTCTGAGCTGTATTTGTCCACCTGCACCAAGAGCCTGAGCCAGCAGAGCCTTGGAGCAGAGGATACTTTTCTATTACAAGCACCAATTCAATTAATTGTCATGGTCAGAGGTAGTCGCAGCCCAGAAAAATTCAATTTGAGGCTAGGAGTGCAGCTTGGAGCCTTGCTTAGAATTGTCCCCTAAAAAATTAGATTTAGTGCTTTTTATCGTATACTGAATTTTATCAGATTCATATCAACTTCCCCTCTGGTCCCATAAGCTTCTCCTCTCTACAGTGACTGAATGACATGTAGCCTTCTATGTTCCCTTTTCTTAGGCTTCCTGAACCTAAGCTCATCTAAGCTCAGATGAGTCATGAGTACCTCTCACCATGAATCAGAGGAGGCTAGAGGCCTTTCTCACAGAACAACATACTCCATAAACACCTTGTTAGAGGTAAAAAGATAGCAAAAAGGTAATCTAGAGGAAGGAGAGTTGAAGAGAGAAAAGTGTGGATGTTAATGGTGGTGCATATTAATATTCCACAGGTGCAAAGCATTTCTACAAATTATAACATGTATTCCTCATATTACCCTTTGAACTAGACAGTATTCTGATGCCCTCTTCAGAGATGAAAAAAATTATTCTCAGAAAATTGATGTGGTTTGCATAAGTTTGCATAGCCAATCAATGGAGCTGAAATGAAAACCGAGGTCTTTTGACTAAAAATTATTGATCATTCTATGACTTAGCTGGGCATGTTGACTCCATAGGCCCTCTCAATCCCTCCCACCCCGCCCATCTCAGGATGCTTCTTGGAGGTACTGCCTGGCCACTCAGGCTCAATTTATAAGTATGGAAAGAGAAAATACAAATAAAAAAAAAAAAGAAAAGTGGTGATAAAGGAAGCACATTGTGACCCTGAAGACCTGGACCTGATAATGCTTCTCAATTACCTGAGAAATGGCCATGGCACACACCTCTGGCCAAGCCCAAGTTGGGGAATAAGGTCACTTACCTAACTGCCACTCAGGGGAACACATGGTCTGCATCATCCAGAGGGGCAGTGTGGGCTCCAGCATGGCCACTCCCATGTTAGCAAAGCAGAGGGAGCCTGGAGAGACATTTCTGTGAGCCCCATGGCTACCCTGAAGCCCGGACTCTTCCTATCCCAAAGGGAGGCATTGTCAGCTTACCTGCAGCCACCAGGATATAAGGGTCTTTGAGAAGTGTAAGGAGTGGAGTCCCCTTGGCACTCTGAGAACATGCACAACAAAAAAACATCCATTTGTACAGTGTACATCTCTCCTATTTTCATAGAATCTGAGAATATGCAGACAGGACCTTAGAGACCATCTATGTCAGCTCCTTTACTGAAGAGAGCAGACGCACAAGTTAAAGGAGATAAAGTGACTTGCCCAATGTCACAGAGTCACCTGGCAGTTTACCTCCTGTGTGTAAGACAGACAATGTAGTAGTCATAAAGAGTAGGACAACATATTCCATACATGATTCCTGCCTTCAAATGATCATCAACCATATGAGAGTGGATTGTCAGCAAGACCAGCTTTGGACAATGGATGTCTGGACTTCTGGTCTTGGGCCTTACCACTAGATCTCACTGGCATTAATGTTTGCCCTGGGAGAACCACAGGCAAAGTACTGAATCCCAAAGGTGAACACAGAGGTGATAACTTAGAAAGCTTCTCAAGCATTCTGAATGCTTTATTCTAACCATTTTGAGCCATACTAGACAAGTGTAGCAGAAAGTGTTTGAATATCTAGATTAAAATGTGAGCCTATGGGCACCTGGGTGGCTCAGCCTGTTAAGCGTCCAACTCTTTGCTTTAGCTCAGGTCATGGTTTTGTGGTTCTTGAGTTTGAGCCCTGCGTTAGACTCCACACTGATGTGCAGAGCCTGCTTGGGATTCTCTCTCCCCCTCTCTCTCTGCCCCTCCTCTGCTCATGCTCTCTCTATATACCAAAATAAACTTTAAAAAATAAAAATAAAAATAAAATAGAGTTTTAAATATTCAGTTCTAACTTCTGTCTACCCCCAGCAAATTTTTATTCCAGCTAAACTCAGTCATTCCATCTTCTTCCCATTCATTCAGTGGGTTATTTTTGCCTAACTAACTTCGTGGTTATTTTTGCCTAAACTATCTTCTTTCTCTCTACAGGTCCAAATCATCCAAATTCTACCCTTCTTCATAGTCAATCTTAAATAGCTCCTTCTTTTCCACAGTATTCCATGACTCAGTAGCTGGAGCTTCTCCCACTTTCAAACTTCCTGAATTCTGTGCCTTAATCCATGGTGCTAACTACATCTTATCTTGTAATAGAATGAATAGTTTTGGTATGATAATCATCTGTGCATACACACAGGGGTGGATTGAAATATTCAGAGATATTAAAACTAAATATATAATTCAAATTAAAGAGACAAACCTAAATCATAAAATACACATAAAGAAGTCCAATAAGCCCTTTGGCCCAAAAATTCCACCTCTAGAAATTTATTCTATAGATTACTTCCAATGTAATAAAAATGCATATACATAAAGTTATTAATTGTAGCACTATTTATAATTGAAAAGTACTAGAAACTACCTAAATGTTCAAATCTATGAGATTGAATAAAATATGGTACATGCACAATGGGGTTTCATACAGCCAGAAAAATAATAATTGAATTTTTTTCATATCTGTAACATTACCATCTAAGTCAAAATTATTGAAAAAGATATTAAAGGAAAATAATTTCTCCTCTCACAACACTTTTGACACTGAATGTGGGAACTTTCACCAAGCAACTCTTCAGTTCTTTGTGGGCACCAATTGGTTGTCCTAGAATGTAATTCAGTTCTGACACTAAGTACTTGGAGTTAGCACAGACCCCACAGATTAACAACTTGGTCCCACAAGACTGCCCCCACTTCAGATCCCAATTGCAAGTAGTGTGTTCCCATATTACCCACACTTCTGTCTGATGTGGCTATAAAATCAAGGTTTTTAGATCAAACTTTCCCACATTTTTTGTATTTACTTGTCTTTTATTGTATGTGGTTTGATATGAATTTCTCAGAGCCGTCTTTGGCTTGGGATCAGACAAATACCAACTCTGATATTTAATCATGATAGGATGATAGTGTGCAAAGATGCTCTTGGTGGAGAGATTGAGCAGCATCTAAAGTCTTCTCTAGCTCTGAGGTGTTATAACCATGAATTCACAGGCCCCAATGTCATTGCCTCTTGTTCTGAGTTCATATATATAAATTCTGTAATGTTTCTTTCATTTTTCATAAGGTCCTTCCTCCATCTTTGTCCAACATCAAACCAGACTCCCTCACCATCCCCAACATCACCCTAAATATGGAAATATCTTGGAATCCAGATATAGTTCTCACTTTCCATCACTCCACTCTTCTTCACCTTTCTTCTTATGGTTTGACAGGGATGATCTAGGGGAGACTGGGTCTCAGCACTTAACCACTCTATATATCCCTTGGCAATGGAGCTTGGTGCCCTCTTACCTCAGGAGAGACTTTGGAAGGCTGTAGAATACACAGCTGGAGTGCTAAGAAAGAAAGAGGCAGAGAAAGAGATAGTTTAGTTTGTCCACTGATTATTTGGAAACTCCAGTAACAGCCATACTGCTATTATCACCCTATCATGTAGAGATCTAACTCTCTGAATTTCTTCCTTCTTTCCAAGAATGGGGCAGTCCTTGATTTTTCAAGTATGTCAAGACTGACACCATAGCAGAGTACATTGCCAACCTGATTTAAGCTATCATCTGTCTGGTGATCTCTTATGGTGACTTACCTCCATTTAGTAGTGCCAGAAAGGCCAATATAAGGAAGGGTGAAGACCGCCCAACAAACACATACATCACACTTCCAAAAGGAGCTCCCACTGGAAAGGAAAAACAGATTTCAGAGGTAAGGGTCAATTCCTAGTTGGTGTGATTTGTCCACATATATCCAATGAGATTTACCAAAGCTCTCCTAGGCACTGAGCTCCACATGAGGTTCTGGGGATTCAGAGATGAAGAAGACCTGGTTCCCAGGGGCTTACTTTCAAATAGAGAAAATGCATGTGATTGGGGTGGGGTGGGATGACCCAAATAATTAGAACATGGTGAAAAGTAAAGTTCAACAGGAAAGTTTCAATCTACAAAGTGCTGTGTAAACACAGTGCAGTGAGTTCAGGTGGCCACAAGGGCTTTGTCAAGTGGATAATACAGGTGGGGAAGAAGCATAAGTGAAGAACATTGAGGTGTCATAAAAGAGACTGTAGTTGGAGAAGAAATAGAATGAAGTCAGTTCAGTGTTCAGTCACTAGAATGTGAGTATTTGGGAGAGAAAGAGTAGAGGTGGGGAATGTTGATGCCAAATAGTCAAGTGCCCCATATATCCAGATAAAGCATGTATTTGGCCTTGTGAGCTATGGAGAAACATGTTTTTTAGCAGGGAAGAAATGCCACCAGCTCTGGGCATAGGACATTTTTTCTGGTGGCAACTTGGGGGAAGAAAAGAAGGTGAACGAAATCAGGCAGTAGGCTGGTTCCAACTGAGATGTGATGAGGAACCAACCTTGAGGAAGTGGCTATACAGAATATACTGGGCTTATCCATTTGAGAGTGAGAAGTGATAAAGGAGACCAAGATGAACCAAAATTTTAGCTTGGGTGGGAAAATGGATATTAACAAAGAACAGGGTTTTTGTTCCCTCTTCTCCCATGGTTGTGGTGGGAGGTGGGGTATGGACCAGGGAACAGACCTTTGGTGTTTTTCCCTCGATTAGATTGCAAGGAGGGGAGAAACAATGTGTGAGGCTTCTTACCCATATCCCCTCTGTCCTAACATTGTGCTTGGCATGAAATAAGTGCTCCGTAAAATATTTGACTTGTTGGACTAGTCAAATGAATCATATGAGAGATGAACCTCAAAGGAAGTATGTTACAGCTTGGGTTTTTAGGCCAGAAAATGTGAGTCTATATCCTGGCTCTGGCATTTTCTGTATGTGTAATCTTGGATGGTTGCTTAAACTTTTTAGTTCTCATCTGTATAATGAAGACAATAATTCCTCCTTTATAGTGGTGTGATGACTAAGAGAGATTATGTCTGCAATATATTTAGCACAAAATCTGTCAAGGAGCTCCTTTCATTTTGAGAGCACTAGCCACGTGTGGAAATGGAGGTGAGACAGTGGCTGCTAACATGGGTATACTTGCTCAACTTGAATAGACTAGGTTTCTGGACCATTCCCAGGCCCTCATGGGCTATTAAGCTTCTTAAGGGGAAAGAGACTTTGCCTTTTTTGGGAAACATTTCAGAAGGACTCCACATGTAATTGGACAGAAAAGGGAAAAAAAAATACCGTCTTCCTTGAACTTAGAAACACCTGCCTCCTGGAGCCATCTTCAAAGAGTATGCACTACCCTACCCTCTGAACCTAGATTTGGGTCCAGGTTACGCTTACTCAGCACTCCCAAAGCCAGGCCCCCCAAGGCAATTCCCATGGCATGCCCTCTCTCATAGTCATCAGTGTAGACACTTGCCAGCATCCCAAGACCTGAAAGAAGAGTTACATAATGGAGTTAGCATACAGGAGCCCTCTGTCTGCCTCTTTCACTGAATTCTTGGTCTATTAGTTCTTAGTCTTCTATCCCTATTATATCTTCAGGGATCATCTTACCTAGAGTTCCAGTTTGAGGGTTTTTATAAAACTTAATTCATTGTACTTTATAAATACTGTCCTCACTGGTCCCCCAAACTCTCACATTGCTGTCTCCTTCTGCTCACAATATTGTTGGAAGTGTAAAAGTCTCTGGGAAGGGTAATACAGAATACCACTGTCCATTGATTCTGCATTTCATTGCATTTTATCATTCCCTACCTTATTTTCCTGAAGGAATGTATATGAAGTAGGTCAAAAAAGGAAAAAATCTATAAACACAGAACACTATTCTATTCAATGGAGGTGCTCAAGGAAGACATAAACAGAGTATCTGGAAGACAGCATGGGTTGGGCTTTCAGGTCAGTTATTCATGTGAAAAATGGCATAAAATATCTACTTCATAGGATTACATTAAATGTTGTATTTGATGATACTTTGCAAAGTGTGATAGGGTTACTGGTAGTATTCACATTATTCTTTCTATAAAATGTTAAGAGGGGGACAGAGAAAAGACCATAGAGTAGCATTAAATACAAACCTGGCCTACTGCATGGTCTTACTGAGCTTACTTGGACCTAAGATGGCTATATCCAAATATTATCAGAGGAAGTTATGTCAGGCTTAGGTATTTATAACACTGCCAATAACTACAATTATATTGTTTTTGTTTATTCTTTTAATGTTTATTTATTTTATTTTTGAGAGGAGGGGGAGGTGGGGGGGGTTGGGAATAGAGAATCCCAAGAAGGCTCCACGTTGTCAGCATGGAACCTGATGCAGGGCTTGATACTACAACTGTGAGATCATGACCTGAGCCAGAATCAAGAGTTGGACACTTAACTACTTGAGTCACCCAGGTGACCCAATTGTCTTGTTTTTGAATCATAATTTCTTCCTACTAGGATAGTTTCTTATCTATTCATATAAATCTTATAGGGTCTGAAGATGGTAAGAGATGTATGGGGGTGTGTGTTGTGTGTGTGTGCGTGTGTGTGTGTGTCTGTGTGTGTGTGCATAAGATGTCAGTATTACCTGCAACAGAAGAAAATGAGGATCCAATGCCTTGAAGGGTTCGAGCCACAAAAAGTAGGGTATAGGTACCAGAAAAAGCAAACACTGAGTAAAGAGAACAGCAAGAATGCTCCAGTTAGCAAATTGTCTTTATCCCTGGCCACCAGAAAATATGCCCATGATATTATAGATATAAGCCACTAAATATATGTTTTAATAAAGCATGATCACTGCTCTCTGTTTTTGGAGTTGTCTTTCTAATCTCCTATGCCTTATTTAGGATTTAATTTTCATTGACATGAAAACTGAGAAACCACAGAGACATAAACCAATTCACCACACAGTGGATGGAAGGCTGGATTTCCACATTTCCTGTCCAAAGCTCAACATCCTGTCCATTGGAATCATGGCTGTCCAAAAACTTTAATGCCTTTAGATCCTACTTCTCAATCCTTTATATTCAACACCCACATTTGACCTTTGCCATTGTTGGGCTCCATTGGGTCATCTAAAGTGAGGGGACAAAAGCTATGTGTAATTGAAGGACCATTGGCATTGGGTAGAAAATAATATCTTGTGATCCAATCAGGTATTTCCTCTTATTTTACCTGGAAGATCTTTTAACCAAATCAAACCAGTGAGTATGTGTTAAGTAATACCAAACACACATCTATCATATACATACTCTGTAGCAGATGTGAAATAAAGAAAACATCCAGTTCATGCCCTTTAAGAGGTTCAGCCTACTCAAGACTAGCATACAAAAAACTGAGTACCAAATAGAAATACATTATCAAAAAATAAATTACAGGGTGTTGGTGGTAAGCTTGGTAAATCTAGACATGTCTCACCTCCATTTCAGGACAATGTCCCTGAAAGAAAGAAGACTCTCTCCCAAATTATTTGAATCAGCAGAATTTGAATCCATTTACCCTTTCATTACAGATGTGTTTGGTTGTTTGCTGTCTTATAATTTTCTCCCATTACTTCCTGACGTGATCACAGTCTCTCAAACATGCATGGACTTGGTTTCTCTTTGCTGGCTTTCTAATGCCTTCTCCTAAGCTTTCTGATTTTCAGTCTGTTCAAGGTTGGCTATTCCTATTTTCTTTGAGAATGGAGTTACCAACTTGTTACAGTTTGCCAAAGAGTTTGCATTCTAGAAGGCCCCTGAATCTCAGGCAAAATAGAATGGTTGGTAACCCTATGTAGGAAAACCAAAACAATTTCTTTCTCACTTTGCCCCCAAACATGGTCTGCCATTTCACTCCTAATTACATTAAGCATAGGTCTAAGCTGGAGGACCTTAAGGGTAATAATGGGCATCAGCAACCTCTTTTCAGTATTTAAAAAACCCTAAAGAGATGCCACATAAAATTCTGTAAAGACCAAACATTTGCTAGAATTAGGCCAATTCAGTATAGCAACACTGGTTATAACATGGAAACAATAATTATTATTTAATTGCAGAGAATCAAGCAAGGACCTTATACTAAAGAGTTTGGGATACTATAGCATTATCTTATTTTGCAGGGTGCTTGTTTTATCTCCCCAGACACACATCATAAACCTCTGGACTGGAACCATGTCATTTCATTCTTTAACTCCCCTCAATGGCTTTTGCCATCAAGACATAATATGTATGCTCTACAAATTTTTTTTGGTGAGAATTATGGTCTCATTTGATAAAACAGAATCCTATTCATTTTTAGTCTATTATGTGGCATGGACTGAGATTCTACAAGTTCAATAAACATTTCTAACTTGAATTTCCTCATTTTCTTTTATTTAGCTAGAATTTTCACAAGTAAGCTGCAGTTCTCAGAACTTCACACATCAAGCTTCTGCTCTTTGCAGCTTTCCAACCCTGAATGCAACAAATTCCCATTAAGCATTGGTTGATAAGAGTTAAGCCCTATGCTGAAAGGGAAGAAAACTTGAAGAGGGGCAATAGAAAAAGCAGAAAAGTAACAAAAAGGTGATAAGAAAAACAGGAGAGAGAAGGAAATAATGTTACTGGAAGCAGAGTAAGCAGAGGCAAGCTACCTTCTCCTGTATTAACCTCCCACCCCCCTTCATTCCTTCTTATTTTAATTCTCATGGTCAATTTCCAGACATATTTTGTTCACTTACTGTTTTTATTCCATCTCTATTTTATTAGAACATTTATATTACACTGGATAGACTGTTTTTCTTTTTCTTGTTTTTTTTTTAAACAAAATTATTTCTCTAAGCTATAACCTTTAATGTCTTTACTTGAAGGCAGTAGACTCTTTGGTATTATCCAGTTGCTATTGTCCAATTTAGATTCTTTGCTGGTGGCCCTTTACCTTTGTGTATCAAAATAATACAACCTTTCCCCAAATATGGGAGGTTTGTACTAAACTCATTCAAGGGACTACTGATACACACACACACACACACACACACACACACACACACACACACTATAGCCCACCTATTTAAAAAGTATTTACAATTTTCCCCAGCTGATGGAAGCAAAGTGTCTTTTCTTCTATAGCAGAATATACAAATTCCAAGTAGAATGATTTGCCACTACTGCTCTAGTCCCCATATCAAAAGCAGCAAAATATTTAAATCAGTGTCAGGCTATTTAGATACTACCTAGCTAGCTTGACCCTACTCTCTTTATTGTAGTGCATGTGATAAAATCAAAGGTAATCAATGAATGAAATAAAAGATGAAGCAAATTACTTACTAACTGTGGAGAGAAACAGGATAACAAAGCCAACAAACATGGGGATGTGATATCCAATCCTAAAAGAGAATTAAAAAGAAAAAGATACAGTCCCAATAGGCATCCATATACTTGGACTATATATTTTTTCTTATAATTGGGAATAGAAATGCAGTTATTGAGTACATGGAAAACATGTCTCTGAATGCAAGTTTAGAGATGAATATGACATATGAATGTGTATAAGCAAATAAACAAATATGCAAATTTACCCAGAGACCAGGGCGAAAATCTTTTTTTCCAGGAAGGATGCCCTAGTCAGAGTATATATCCCTTTGAAACATCAGGGTAATCCCAAACACTTCTAACAAACCAGTGTTCTAGATTGCAGTAGTCCTGCCTTTGAGATATGTTCCAGAGCACTGAAATAACATCAACAGTATACTTCTGACCACTGGTTCTTTTCTTGGTACTCAATAGTCATTACATCATTAAGAAAATTTGAGCTCCATGGCATTTCATCAATACCATGTTGTCCTTTGGGTAAACAGCTGACTCCCCAGAGATAGACAAGTGAGTTCTTTTCTTCCTCTAACTACCTTTATGATACCACAGCCCATCCTCTTACTTCTGAGCCAGTGAGTACCATGTAGAGCACTGAACTTATTGAGATACCTGTTGATGAAAGGTCCCACGAATGGGTTGACCAGAAGTTGCATCAGAGCCTTTGAAGCAAACAGAACCCCAACCCGTATGTTCTCTTCCTCCAAAAACTCTGTGCCTTGCAAGCAGTTGTTTTGTTGTGCTGGGATGGCTTCAGTGACTAGAGGAGGGATGGTACCAGAAGTGCGATCTGTCCATGCTGTGCCACTGGGTGCACTTTCTTTAATAGCCATGGTGTCATTTCCAAAGAAGGAGAAGATTGTGGAAAAGGCACGAGGAGTAAGGACATGCTGGGAAACTGTGGTGGTGCCAAGGTGCAGAGGAGTGTTGATTTCTTTGAACTCTGTGGCATATAGGAAGTTGGGTACAATGGGCACTGAAAGTCAAGAAGGACAAGTGATGAGGGCTAAGGATACTTTTTAATGCTAATTGGTTTAAAGACATTACTATAGGCTCTATATCATGCTCCATGTGACATGATTTGAAGCCTACTAAAAGACTGCCATCCAAATTATCCTTTTAGATTAAGTAAATTCCAACTAACATAAAATTGGTCACATTACTCCTGGATTCTGTATGGGCCAATCACCTACTCACTAACATTTATTTTTAATCACAAAATCATTATTTATGGAGTTTTCACAATTTTTCTCAAACATACATACAGAGAATGGGGAAATTTTCAACTTACCGGATGCTCATTTTCACAGCTGAGGTTGAACAAGGCAAGCTTTGTCTTACTGTTTCAGCTTTCATACAGAGATGGCAAAGAATGGAGATGGTAGGGTCAGGGAGGTATAGTGCAAGAAGGTCTAGCTCTGGGATCAGTTGGACAGAGCTGAGTTGGGGTTCAAACCCCAACTTAGCATCTATTAGTAGGGAAGTCACAGAACACTTCTGAACCTCATTTACCTTTTGTGTTTTTCAAGTCCACTCACTGCTAAATTTTAGCAGGGTGTGTGCTCCCTGCTGGAGCCCAGAGCAAATTAACCCCCAGGGCAGAGACATCCAAACATACCCACTACCGTAAGTAGCATGTTGTCCAGGAGCAGAGCAACAAACACCACCACCAGTACCAGCTTCCGGGACTCTCTCCTCTCCTTTAGCAACTGCTGAGGAGCATCCCAAACTATCCTGAGCATGGTGAGAGCTGGGCTGAAGGTGTCTTCTCCAGTTTCTTATGGAAGGTCCTCTTACAGCTATAGGTCTTCTGCAGCCTTTACAGAAGAGGGGAGAAATCCTGCCCAGACAAGTGGAACTCACGATTAAAATAAAAAAGTGCAAATAGTTGCAGATACTAGAATGGTATTTGAACCATTTCCATGCCTGTGTCTCTGTTCACTTATACATCTCAACAATTCTACTGGGTTCCTGGAATGCCTTATAAGAAAGCACTGCTTACCACCTTTTTATATCTGGAATTCTACCTAGCATATTTTTTTTCTTTTTTTCAAATTTTAATTTAAATTTTTATTTGAATTTTTTATATATATACATATATACATATTTAAATATATAATATATTAAAATATAAATATTATTTTATTTAAATTCTACTTAGTTGCACTAAATACAGTACAATGTTGGTTTCAGGAGTACAATCCAGTGGTTCATCACTTACATACAACACCTAGTGCTCATCATAACAAGTGCCCTTCTTAATACCCATCATCCTTCTAGCTCATCCCCCACCCACCTCCTTCCATCAACTCTCAGTTTGTTCTCTATGAGAAAGAATCTGTTATGGTTCATTCCCCCTCCCTTTTTCTCCTTTCCCATATGTTCATCTTTTTGTTTCTTAAATTCCATGGATGAGTGAAATCACGGTATTTGTCTTTCTCTGACTGACTTATTTCACTTAGCATAATACTTTCTAGCCCCATCCATGCTGTTGCAAATGGCAAGATTTAATTCTTTTAAAAAAATTTTTTAGGTTTATTTATTTATTTTGAGAGAGAGACCACAAGCAGAGGAGAGACAGAGAGAGATGGAGAGAGAGAATCCCCAGCAGTCTCTGCACTACCAGTGCAACACCAGGGCAGAGCCTGATGCAGGGCTCAAACTTACAAACTGTGAGATCATGACCTGAGCCAAAGTCAAACGCTTAACCAAATGTCAAACTCAGCCACCCAGGTGCCCCAAGATTTCATTCTTTTTGAATTCTGTGTAATAATCCAGTGTGTGTGTGTGTGTGTGTGTGTGTGTGTGTTGGCGTGTGTGTATCACATCTTCTTTATCCATTTATCAGTTTATGGACATTTGGGCTCTTTCCATAGTTTGGCTACTGTTGATAATGCTGCTATAAACATCAGGGTGCATGTGCCCCCTTTGAATCTGTATTTTTATATCCTTTGGATAAATACCTAGTACTGCAATTGCTGGATCATAGGGTAGTTCTGTTTTTAAATTTTGAGGAACTTCCATACTGTTTTCCAGAATGGCTGCACCAGTTTGCATTCCTGCCAAAAATGCAAGAGGGTTCCTCTTTCCCGATAGCCTCACAAACACCTATTGCTTCTTGTGTTATTAACTTTAGGCATTCTGATAGGTGTGAGGTGGTATCTCATCATGGTTTTGATTTGCATTTCCCTGATGATGAGTGACATTGAACATCTTTTCATGTGTCTGTTAGCTATCTGGATATCTTCTTTGGAAAAATGTCTATTCATGTCTCTGCCCAATTTCAAATTGGATTTTTGTTTTTTGGGTGTTGAGTTTGAGAAGTTCTTTATAGATTTTGGATACTAACCCTTTATCACATATGTCATTTGCAAATATCCTCTCTCATTCCATAGGCTACCTTTTAGTTTTGTTGATTATTTCTTTTTGCTTTGCAGAAGCTTTTTATCTTAAGTTCCAGCAATTCATTTTTGCTTTTGTTTCCCTTGTCTCTGGAGACATGTCTAGTAAGCAGTTGCCATGGCTGAGGTCAGAGAGGTTGCTGCCTCTACTCTTCTCTAGGATTTTGATGGTTTCCTGTCTCACATTTAGGTCGTTCATCCATTTTGAATTTACTTTTGTGTATGCTGTAAGAAAGTGGTCTAGTGTCATTCTTCTTCACTTCACCGTCCAGTTTTTCCAACATCATTTGTCGAAGAGACTGACTTTTTTCCATTGGATATTCTTTCCTACCTGTTGAATATTAGTTGACCATGTGGTTGTGGGTCTATTTCTGGGTTTTCTTATGTTGCATTGATCTATGTGTTTTTGTGTCAGTACTATGTTGTCTTGATGACTACAGCTTTGTAACATAACTAGAAATCCAGAATCATGATGCCTCCAGCTTTGCTTTTTTTTTCAGGATTGCTTTGGCTAGTCAGAGTCTTTTGTGTTTCCACATAAATTTTAGGATAGGGATTGCATTAAATAGATTACTTGGAGTAGTATATACATTTTAACATGTTTGTCCTTCCAATCCATGAGCTCAGAATTTGTTCCATTTCTTTGTATCCTCTTCAACTTCTTTCATAAGTGTTCTATAGTTTTCAGAGTACAAATCTTTTCCTTCTTCAGGTAGGTTTATTCCTAGGTATCTTATGGTTTGGGGTGCAATTGTTAATGGTATCAATTACTTGATTTCTTTTTTTTGTTGTTGCTTCATTTGTTTGGAATTCTACCTAGCACATTAAGCAGACTCTAGCTCTATTCACCTAACTCTCTTTGTCACATGTCAGACATTTGCCTATCACTTCAATGGTTTATGTTAATATCTGAGGACTACTTGTATTATCACTTGTTTAATCTTTTTCTCTAAATCAACTCTTTTTAAAAATCAAAATACTGTTGTTTTAAGAAATAAATATGCCATACAAAAGAAAAGAAAAAAGTATGGTGGGGTTCCTGGGTGGCTCAGTCAGTTAAGCATCAGACTTCGACTCAGGTCATGATCTCACTGTTTGTGGGTTTGAGCTCCACATAGGGCTTTCTGCTGACAGGACAGAGCCCACTTTGGATCCTCTATCCTTCTCTCTCTCTCTCTTTCTCTCTCAAAAATAAACATTTGAAAAAAAATATGGTTTATGCCTATGTACCAACCCAAAATTATAGCCTATGGTCTGTACCACCCCAAAATATCTCATGTGCCTCAACCTGACCTAGACCAACACTGTCATCTCACAGATGAGAAATCTGAGACTCAGGAAGTTAGGACATCTGTCTCAGGTGACACAATTAGTATTAAACTGTAATAATGCTCCAAGCTTTTTAACTTGCAGGATTATATTCCACCATCTTCCCTTGCTCTGTGGTACTTGAAACACTTCTATTTTGTCTGAGCTATAAATCCCTGCTCAGAAAGGTGTGTTACTATGTGTAAATAAAATACTGTCATGGCTAGTTCTTTCCTTAAGATTTCATATCATTAATCAGCATTAAGTCACAGTATTTTTTTTAAACTTCAGGTAATAACAGTTTCTGGGAATACTTTTATTTTTGTGTGTGTGGCTTCTGTTGTGGTATCAACAATGACAATTATATAAATTTTAAAATATATTACTGTCATGAAATATATCAGGCTCTAAAATTATGTAACCTTTGATTTGGTAACCTCACTTCTAAGAGCCTATCGTAAAGAAAAGATCAAAAGTGCACCCAAAGATTTATGTTTAAAATTATTAATTGCCAAATTATTGATATCAGTGAAAAAATAAAACATTTTAATGGTGGAATATAAACAGCTCTTAAAATCATTTTTTTCAAATGATTTTAATGACTTAGAAATACAGTTAAAAAACAAACTGTATTTGCAGCTTGATCTTAAGTACATAAAAAATAAAAAATGTGCATATTTTGAAAGATTAGAAAGATACACACCCAGTGTCAGCTATTATAATCACTGCTTAAATTATTTTCTTTTTGCTTTTCTATAATTTCTAAATATTTTAAACTATTTTCATAATATAAGAAGTAAATAATTTAAATGATTATCACTGGAGTTCAACAGTGGGCCTCAAATGTTGGGAGTATCCTAAGTACTGAGCTACTCTGTTCTGTTCTAAGACCAGAGCTGAGAGAAAAACATCATCCATATGACAGTTCTAATTGACCAAGAGGTTCCCCCACTGAACCAAATTCTCAGATAAGTTTTAACCAGAAAATGCATGCAATCATTTAAGATCCTTCATTTCTCTATATAAATAAGGTATTTCTAAATACAAATTTAACCTGGGATACATAAGGAAAAAAATAAGAGACTAAGAAAAAAAAGCAATAGAAAACTACATGTAAAATGGAATAAGTACTATATGGACAGATCAAAAAATATATAACGAAACCAACAAAACCAAATCAAGAATTTGCCAACCAATCGTAGTAAACTTAGTTTACTAGAGAATTTTAGTCAAAATTCTTTGTTGAGGATGCAAATTATAAGGAAGGATTAAATGTGTTCAGGAAGAGAAACATCTTACCTTAAAGCCCATCTTTTGTGAGGTACTCAAGGAGTTATTGGCAGCTGTTAGCTGTTCAGCAGGGACTCTGTTCTCTGAGTAGATGTGCTGATGTATTTATTGCCACCTGTTATCTGAGGATGTCATGTGAGCCCTTTGTCCACAAAGATTTAATTGGAACCTCCAACAGGTTTCATTCAGACCCTTTGTTCCCTGCAGTCAGAAGCAGGAAGGCAGGACTAGAGAGGATAAAGTGAAGGGGAAATTATCCTATGCGAAAATGGACTGGGCTGTGTTGTTTTTCCTCTGTGCTTATCTATCATTGAACTAATTAACTCTTGCCTGGATCTGAATGTAAATTGGAAGATAGAATGAAGCCACAGTACAGCTCCTGTCCCTTGCTACCTAGTCAAAGAGACTCCATATACCCCAATTGCTTTCTGGAAAGAAACAAATCCTGGAACACCCACAGGATCAAAACAAAACAAAACAAAACAAAACAAACAAACAAAAAAAACTATGCAAGTTGTTCTCAAATCATAAAAATCCAACCTCTATGGCTTCTGTAAAGACATAGTTCATGCTGCCATTTTTTGCATAAAGGTGCTAGCTGATTGCCAGGCACATATTGGCCCTCAGTAAATATTTCTTGGATGGATGACTGAATGAATGGCTACATGAGAGAGTTTGACTCACTGTGGGGTCTTGGAGTGGCACTACAGATTTATATTTTTCTGACACTAAGAGTCATCAGT